ATGAACCCCATTAGAAACCTCTGGGCCATACTCGACTGGCAAGTCGAGAAACAACCAAAAAAACAACTTCGAAGAGCGATCTACTCCAAGTTTTGAAGCAAGAGGGGGAGGGCGAAAATCCCACAATCTAAAATTGATGAGATGATTCTCACGATGCCCCAAAGGATCAACAAACTCCACGAAGCGAAAGGAAGATCTACTAGATATTAATTAAATTATAAATATATCAATTCATATGAATATGACTGAAAATTTTTATTTTTTTCTGAAAAGGTGGTGTCTATTTACTTGTGACCATGCTGTGTACATATCTAAAAAATCCTATAGTATGAGAATTGTGACATTTGCTCTATATGTATCCCTTTTTCTCTAATTTGTATACTACCCCTCTGAGAAGTATGAAATTTACGGTAAAGCCCTTATTATAATGTTGTCACCAATCAGGCAAGGCATAATTTTTATAGCCTTCAATCTTATTTGATAATATAGAGCTATAAGCTAGAAAATCATATGCCTCTTGCCATGCCCACTTGTCCCATCCTCTCTTTCACAAATTACCAATAGTTATCTCCGACATTTAATACTATATTGTTTACAACCAATAGAAAGCCAAAGTTTTAATATATCAAATGATATATCATATTATGTTGTTTTCTGTATAGAGAATGGTCTATTTCATTTCCAGTTTAAACTTTATTCCCACAAGAAGCACATCAACAAGCTTGGCTGAATTTTTAACAATTGCATAGTTAGAAAGCCAGAAAAACAGTGATAGTTACAGGACATTGTTTGCTTTTTGTGTATCACTATTCTGTGTTCTTTGATGCATTATTTAAATAAAAACATATTTAGCATAGTAGTACCATTAGTACTACAAAAAGTAGGGTTAAGTTTTATCAAAAGTAAATAGCAAAATATAAAGACTCAGGTAAGTACTATATTTCTTGTTTTTCATGTGTATTATTTATTTATTATAGACGTAACTAAAACATAAAAATAACAACACCTGTCACTGTGTTTAGAAGGATAAAGCAAATAAAGCCCCATTCCTATACTGATAATGCAAGAACTAACAGAATGGTCATGTTACTACTAAAGGCAAGTATTTTTTACTAAGTTTGTAACCAAAGATGACACTATTTATTCTTATTATTTTGGTGCATTAAAAGCAATCACTCTCATGAACAAAGAGATAACATATATCCTTATTACTATTTTTATATCTGAAAAGACTTTCTTACTACTGTTCTTTTAACTAAAGGGTTAACAGATATCCATTCAACATACCAACAAGAGCAAAGGGGCAAACCCTGTTACTACCTATACAATTAATAGTTAAAGGGGGGGGGGGAGAGTTTACTATTCTTCTGACTGAAAAGATAACAGAAAGTCACTGCTATTACCTTTATAAGCCAAAAGATAATAGAAAACATCTGTTTATAACACAGGAGCTAAAGGAAAGCCCTATGACCATTTTTATAAATCATAAGCTAACAGATAACTATCATAATTCTTCTATAACATAAAAAGTGAAGGACAGCAGATTTCTGATACAAAGCACCACTGACTATCTGTACCAGACAAATGCTTGTTTGAACCAAAAAACAGGTAAAATGAATTAAAGGTAAAAATTTACGAAACTAAAATGTAATAGGCAAGAAGTTTCATCTTTAAACTTTAAACTGATTTAAAAACACTTATAGCTAATAAAGAACAAAAAACATTAACAATCTGGAAAGTGGCATCAATTCTAATAACACTTTGTCAAAGTAACAGCACAAGTTAAAACATGTTTAAAATCTGTCTCCACTGGATATAGTGGTGGCATGAAAGTAAAATGTGGGAATAGTGATTTGACAGTCATATTGCTCACATACTAACAAGTTGCTTCTTGCAGGAGAAAAATTGTGAGTCAAATGACTATACCCAAAGTAGAGCCTTAATCAGGACAACTTACTCCTTTTCCGTACTGAGCAAACTAGATGGCTAATAAGTAATGTTAGATTTGACCTAGTAAAGATTGTTGGGTCATTGCTTAACCCAAATCATCTATCATCTAGCACAAAGCC